TCTGACCCGCCAGGGGCCCCCAGTTCTCATCCCAGCTCCCTGTTGGCCTCTGTTCTGTGGCCTCCCTGGGCTGTGGTTTGCCTGTCACCCTCTCTTGGAGCCCGTGGCAGTTTAAAGCAGCACCTCCAGCCTGTTTGTCACTGTGTCCTCATCCTCCCCAGCTAGCCTGGGAGCTTTCAGGGCCAAGACGAGTCCAGTGCACTTACGTGACCCTCCCTCACCCCAGCATGGGCTGGCCACACACATGGGAGGACAGCACCCAGGATATGTATGTGGGTGAGTGGCTGGGTGCACCCACAAGTCCTTCAGCCTCTAGGAGCACACTGCTCACGGGCTTGTAGAATGGTGGACCAGCTAGGCGGCCCAGGACTCTGGAATCAGCCTTGACCCACCACTTAATAGCTTTGTAATCCAAGTCAAGTGGCTTCGCCTTGCTGAGCCTCAGTTCTGTGGCTATATAAAATGGAGCAATTAAGAGCCCTTCCAGTGAGGAGTTGAGATGACATGAGCTGATGCAAGTGAAGGCCATCTGTACCATGTGGCTTTGTTATTATTACTGTAATTGTTCCCATTTCACTGATGAGAGAAGTGCAGTCAGTGGCAGAGTCAGGATTTGAACCCAGTTCTTGCCAAACCCTATTTCTTTGTCTGCATGGATGGGGACGTGATACCATGAAGAGAGTGAGCCCTGGGCTGGAGTTAGGTGATGTGGCTCAGCCGCCAGCTTCATCTCTGTGGCCTTGGACAAATCACACCCCTGTCCTGTGCCTCTCTTCTCCCCCATGAACGAAGAGCATTGGAAGCAGTGATGATCTTTCAGGGCCGCCAACAAACAGGTGACTGCTGGGCAGGTATGGTTCTCCCCAGGCTTCTGGTGGGACCCCCAGCCTGGTCCAGCCTTATATTCTGCTCACCTCAGATGTCTGACCGTATCCATCTCTCTCGTATGTCAGGAGGGTTGATTGGGCAGCACCTAGGATGAAAAGCCTCCAGGGTCTGTGAGGGAGATGGTCTAAATAGAGCTGGATGCAGAGGGTCATCCTGGCCAAGGAGGCTTCCAGATGCACCTATTTTGGGTTCTTCTAAAGCTTTCAGCAAGTAGAAGCCAGGAAGGCCCCACTGGCAGTGTGAGGGCGGGTGGGAGCGGGGAGAGTTGTCCTGTGTGAGAACACTTGGTATTATCAGCTTTAAGACTCCCGTCCTCCCTCACCTTCCACCTCTGTCCTCTCCACCTGCCTGCCAGATCTGTGCAGCATCTGGGGAAGAGAAAAGCCAACATCCCAACAAAGGTCAGAATCTTAAAACAAGTTCTTTTTTTTTTCTTTTTGTCTGCCTCCTACATAGCCTTTTGCTCGAGTGGGTAATAATTTGAAAAGACTAAAGGTCTGTTTTCTCTAAACCTACCTGTCAGTCTCTTGTTGAGAATGCAGACTAGAAAGAGAAGAACACGTTTTTGTGGTTTAATAAAGCACAGGGCAGCAGATGCCATACCTCCTCATGGAGATGGGCAACACGTCTGTCATCATCTTTACACGAGCAAACATTTTCCCACTGTGGAGCCCCGTTCTCAGCTCCTGAGCACAAGCCAAGAGGGCCCTCCCTGCGCTGTTGCATCCAGTCTCAGGGACAGAACCCGGACACAGATAATAGTGACGGAGAGCTGTCAGGCTGAGTGGAGGTAGCAGAGATACAGAGGATGGAGATTTGGGAGGATGTGGGTGACCCAATGGCAAAGGTGGGCTTCTGGCTCCACGGAATAAAAGCTTTCTGGCTGTGGCGTTCCCAGTAATGCTGGGGGCTATGCTGGGAGGTACATAAGCAGAGCCTGGGCACCCTGACTGGGCCTGGGAGAGGAGCTTCATGCCCTGGGAAGGTGAACGCTGAGCTGTATCTTCGCCTGTGTCCAGACTGTGGTGGGCTTTTCTCTCTGGGTGACCAGCTGGCCTGGGCTAGGGTTCCCGTGTCCTCGGCACCCCAAACCCCAGCTCCAAGTCAGAGGAGAGACTTCAGAACCACTGCGCCCTCTCAGGGCTTACCAGCCTGCTCCCCACGGCTCCCCCCAGGACAGGGAAGTTGCTGGGCCATGGCCTCACTGACCAGCCACACTCCCTTACTGCTACTCCTTGTCATTTGTCTTGAAGCAGCGGCAGGGAGGCCAAGGTGTTCCCTGTCCACTCATTAGGGCCCAGGCAGCAGGGTCCTGCAGAGAGCTTCTGGGGGAGGTGCAGAGGTGAAGCACACACGCCAGCCCTGCCCTCTGGACGTCCGGGGGCCCAGGCAGCCGGAATGCAGGGCCAAGGGGCAGATTGGAACGACAAGACTCAGGTTTGAGTGCTGGCCCTTAGCAAGGACTGCTTTGACCGAGGCCCCTCTGTCTGTGGCTGTCTGAGGGGCTTTACTTACTTTTTCTCCGATCACTCAGCGAGTCAGCTGCTCCTGATCTCCCCTGGCTGCCGGGGTGCACAGGTGTGAGGGACTTGCCCGAGCCACACCGCTAGCCCTGAGGATCACAGTGTTACCAGGGAGGGCGGCGAAGGATTGGGAGGGAGGAGGCACTCCTTCCTGCCAAAAACTGAGGACCCGATAGAAGGCCTTTGCCCCCTCTTGGAGACTGGACCTCACCCTTGAACCCTCCTCCTCCGTTCTTTTCATTTTCCTTTTTTTGGGGGTTGGCTTCAAATTATCTTATTTTGTTTACATTGCACCCAAGTTTCACCGTACAAAAGACTTGCAGGTGCAAATATGTCCCGCCTTCATTAACTTCCCCTCCCTTTTTAATTTATGTGATTTCAATTTTCCTTCCCTGTACTGTTAATTAGGGGACCCTCTAATCAGTGCCATTATCACAGTGGTATTCATGTTTAGGAAAGCCGCTAAACAAATGCTTGCAAAATTGCTAAATGGCTAATTAATGTCTGTTAATTAAGAAAATTGCTCATGGTAACAAACCATGCCGTTGCTGGCAGCCGCTAGAAAGACACACACTTGTTGAAATTAGTAGCGTGGCAGGTAGGGGAACATCTGCTCCGTGGAGCTTTTGGGAAGTGAGCAGCCCCTCACTTGGCCGAGAAGCTCCAGGCCTGTCCTGGGCATGGCCCCCTTGCCTCTCTTTGCACACCTCTCTCTGTCTCCATGCCCGCCGGCCCGAACCCACCCCTCCGCCCTCTCCCAGCTCTGGGCTTTGCTTCCTGAGCCAGCAGCAGGCTGCGCAGCCTGGCTTCGAGGGGGGAGGCTGAGGAAGAAAACCCTGCCTGGGCCTCTCAAAGAGCCCTTCTCCCTCTCTTTCTTAATGAAACCACACTCATCCCCCACACGTGTTTTGAATTTTTCTCAATTTCCAAGGGTAGCAGCACAGCCCCCAGTGCAAAGAGTGAATTAGGGTGTGCCCTCATCAGCAGGACCGGCCTCCCACTCCCAATGTCCCGAATGGGCAGCAGGGCACTTCCCTGACTGGATTTTCATGCTTTTTGACTGTGACCCGCAGTAGATAATACATTTGACACAGTGACCCAGTACACACACACACACACACACACACACACACACACACACGTATATTTATAAACAGAGATTAATGAAAAATATTTGCCTTAAAACACACAACGCTGTCCAATATTTTCTATTCTTTTTTTTAAATTTATTTATTTTTGGCTGTGTTGGGTCTTCGTTGCTGCACGCGGGCTTTGTCTAGTTGCGGCGAGCGGGGGCTACTCTTTGTTGCGGTGCGCGGGGTGCTTCTCGTTGCGGTGGCTTCTCGTTGCGGAGCACAGGCTCTAGGTGCGCGGGCTTCAGTAGTTGTGGCCCGCGGGCTCAGTAGTTGTGGCACACGGGCTTAGTTGCTCCACGGCATGTGGGTTCTTTGCGGACCAGGGCTCGAACCTGTGTCCCCTGCATCAGCAGGCGGATTATTAACCGCTGCGCCACCAGGGAAGCCCTCTATTCTGCTTTTTATTGTGTTCCATGTTTTTAAAAACAATGGCTGCAACCCACTGAATTGATTTCACCATCCACTAATGGGCTGCAGCCCATGGTTTGACCAACTCCGTGGTTTAAGGGAATTCATCTGCTCACCTCTTCTGTGGGGAGTCGAGGCCAGCATAGCCCAGGGCTTCAGGGGTCAGCTTGGGATGGGGGTGGCTGGAATGGAGAGCCCCGTCCCACTGCTCCTGCACACACCCGCTCAGGTCCGGCTGCAGGGGTCAGGGTCAGCCTTGGACCCATCGGGCTTCTCCTCCTCTCTCCACCATCTACCGGTTATGTGGCCATGGCCAAATCTCCTCATCCCTTGAGACTCAGTTTCTCCATTGATGGAAATAGGAATGCGAAACCCATGTCACGGGACCAATTGCAAGTGAAGGCGTGTTAATGAGTGCGCTGAGTGGGCGCCCGGTGACCGTCTCCTCCTCTTGTCCCCCATGTGTTCAGTCTCTGGCACCACCTCTCTCCTCCTGTCTGTTCCCATTCATCCATCAGGGCCCCTCCCCTCGGTAGACTGGTCATCCGGTCCTGGCCCACAACCCCGTCTCCATCTACCCAGCCCGGGAGCTCCCAGAGGGCAGGGCCTCCCGGTCCTTCCGCAGCCACAGCCCCTGGGGGCCTGGGGGCGGCTCATGGGTGCCCTGCAGGGTGGGTCAGTTTCTGTGTGTCCCTGCGCTCCGCCCTGATCCCTCTCAATCAACGTATTTAACATGGCAAACTCCGCTGCAACGGCCCCCCCCCCCCCCC